CAGTGGAGTTTCCTGGGTTCGGGACGGCCTGGGGACTGTTAATGAGCCCTGAAATCACTGTGCATAGTCCCTCTCGCCGTCCCTGCGTCCATCCATCCTCCTGGGTGACAGACAGGGCCAGCCCCGTCAATAGCCCACGGTGTCCCCAGACCTCGTGGCAGTTCCCAGCCGAGGGAGAGAGGCAATGATTTTGGGGACCCAAAAGACCCACAGAGGAGGCGTCACTGAGCTGGGTAGCTGGCGGGGAGGGGTGGGAGACCGGCTGTCCAACCTGCGGAGTAGGGCGGAGCGCCCGGCCATGCGACTGGTCCCAGGGTTTCTGGACTGTAAAATCAGGTAACCCCACCCTCCTGTCTAGCCTCTGCTCTCCAGTTCCCTCCTAGCATGGCTCTGAAGGAGACCTCCTACCTGCCCCCTAGGATCCCCAGAAGGTAAGGGCCTCTGAGGCAAGCGGCTGCATGAATGTGGTCCAAGGCCTCTAGGCCGGGCTTTGGGGCTGTGCAGCGTCCCCCGGGCTGCTTAGTGAACTTCTAAAACTCTTGACACACCCACCATGTTCTTACCTGGGGGCTACCCAGAGTCCCTGCAAGGTCTGGTGGGGTCAGTTGCAGACCACATGTCCCGCCTTCCCTCAGCTCAGCACCTGATCTAGGAAATCCTCCTGGCGGGGTTCTAACCTGCAGCGGCCCTGGACCAGCCTGGGAGCATCTCTAGAACCATCGTGTTCCATACCCCTGTCGTGTGATTTGTGGGGCCAGGCCCTTCCTAATGCCCAACCCACGGATATGTTGGTGGGGGGACTTCAGTGAGGGGTTCAGTTCTTAGTTTGTTCTTTCTCAGATGTCCCTGGCCAGACAGTGGGGGAGGGCAGCATAGGTGAGCCCAGCCTTTCCCATCGGTGTCCCAAGTCTCTGAGTTGGGAAAAGAGGTTCTCAGGGCTGATCTTCGGGCATCTCCTCCCCCACCTTTTCCAACCCCGGTCTCCGGACTCTTGGGCCCCAATTTTCTCTGCGAATTGATTGAGTCACCTCTCTCTTATCTGGTCTCAGGCACTTAATCTGTGCTGACGGGGAGGGGAGGCCTAAATCCTTCATGGCTATGATGAAAGCTATGGCCTCTCTTCCTAGAAAAACGCATGCAGTGCTAGAGAGTTCACAGATACCCTGAAGCCCCAGCCGAGGACGCCACTTTTAGAAACCAAGAACTAAGATGTAAACAACTGATCGTTGTTTAGAACTTTGGAGGAAGTATTTTACATTTTAACAGGAGTCAAGAGTCACTGAAAGATTGCGTTCTTTCTTTTTTTTTTAAGGCTGGTCAAGTGGAGCAGTGGGAGTGGAGAAGGGACAAAGGAATCTGTAACTGATTGTGATCAATTACTCGTAAACACCACTGCACTCGGACCAACCAAGATTGAGTTTTAAGGTTTAACTTTGGGCAGTCACAGCTGTTTAAGATTGGGTACGAAATAGGAAAGGGTAGGAAGACATTTTTGGTGAACACTTCCCTAAAGGAGTATTCTGGCATCATTCTGAATTTCTCCCACTTATTCAGACTCCACATCCTATCAGTTACTGAGTCCCATTTTTTTTTAGCCTTTGGCGTTTCTGTAACCAACCCCTCTCCCAACAACATACTCTGATTGTAGCATTTATCTAGCGTATTATATAATTTAATTAAAACAATTTTTGTGTGTGTCACTCCCTCTCCCTCCCCTCCCCAATATAAACTCTAGTAGGGCAGAACTCTTCATCTATTTTGTTCCCTGCCGTATTCCCAGGGCCCAGAACAATGCAAAGCAATTGTTTTATAGAACATAGAGCAGGTTTCTACATGGTCTTTTTTTTTTTTTTTTTTGAGACAGAGTCTCACTGTGTTGCCCGGGCGTGAGTGCGGTGGCGTCAGCCTAGCTCACAGCAACCTCAAACTCCTGGGCTCAAGCAATCCTTCTGCCTCAGCCTCCTGAGTAGCTGGGACTACAGGCATGCGCCACCATGCCTGACTAATTTTTTTCTATATTTAGTTGTCCAATTAATTTCTTTCTATTTTTAGTAGAGACGGGGGTCTCGCTGTTGCCCAGGCTGGTTTAGAACTCCTGAGCTCAAACAATCCGCCCGCCTCGGCCTCCCAGAGAGCTAGGATTACAGGCGTGAGCCACCGCGCCTGGCCTACATAGTCTTTAAGACTTAGGTCCCATCCTCCACAAAGCCTCCCCTGACACCCTCCATCCTCAGGCCGGATGAGATCCCTCTTCTCTTCTGTGTTCTCACAGCACCTTGTCGGTTCCCTTAGCGAGTTGTGTTGTGATTGTGTCTTCCCGTGAGCTCTGAGAAAAGGGGCCGTGCCTTACTCCTTTGGTTATGCACAGCGCCAGCCAGTGCTTGGCATAACAGGGTCTCAGTGTCAATGGCTTGACACGAGACAGTAATTCCTGCAAGCCAAGATTTTTGTTGAGACGTCTTACAGTGGCTCCCAGGCCAAGGGATGGCGTCTAGAGTTTTCTGCCTATCTTCAAGGAAGTTTAGGCCCTGCCAAGAGCCCAAGAAACCTATTTCTTGCCTTCTCTCCGGCATTTACTTCTAACCCTCACTAGCCTGGCTCAGTGCTCCGGAAATGCACCCTGCCCTTCCACCCCAGGCTCCCACCAGAATGGCGCTCTCTTCTTCCTGTCCTCATGGTCCCAGACCTGCAGGAAACCAGATGGCGCCAGGCCAGCCAAATCCCCGTTTATGGCTTATCCTGACTTCCCGCTAGTACGGAGGGATGGAGGTAACTGCACGTGAAAGGCCTGGTACAAGACTGCATCTAGAAGCCGCACCAAATTTTAAATACTGAATACATAAATATATATATTATACTATATATAATATAAAATTATGAGGCTCCAAACCAAAAGAAATATAATGAATGTTCAGCAAAAACAAAGCGGCTCAGGTTCTAGCAGACGTCCTATGGTAGAGGGACGAGATCTGGGCGGTGGAGCAGCCCTTTCCCAGCGAGGGCGAGGTGGCCGCCGCCAGTGGTGGCAGCTGCTGGGCAAACTACAGTTAGTCCTGCGCAGCATTCCTGCCCTGGTGAGAGGGCCAGCTTTTGGAGTGTCTGTCTCATGGGACTGTCGGCACGGCTCAGCAGGAAATCTGGGTGCTCTGAGGGTGAAACTGAAATCCCTGCGCGCTAAGATATAAAAACAATCCATAAGTCTATGAGGCATATGGGTTTAGCCACAAAAACGAAAGAAAACGCCACTATTGCGGCTTGAATAAAGGCACCGCTGGGATTCGAACCCAGGATCTCCTGTTTACTAGACAGGCGCTTTAACCAACTAAGCCACGGCGCCAAAGATGACAAAACGTCTTTCAAAGCTGCTCTACAAGAATATAGCACTAGGAGCCCAATTTTATTAGACCTTTCTGAAACTGACTTGGTAAACCAACTGGTTCCGGTGTCATTCGTCTGTTCATGGAATTTTCCCAATGCTGAAAGAAGTAAATTGAAGACCTCAAATCTAGGCAGAAGTGCAAGGCTGAAGAACTCCCCGGATTCCAGAATTCCGAAACTTCCGTTTGCAAGGTGCCCACTGGATTAGTCTTCTCACCTTGGAGAAGGGGAATGTGGTGGGTAGGTTGGAGAAGAAAAACACAACACGTAGTCGGCAGGATTCGAACCTGCGCGGGGAGACCCCAATGGATTTCTAGTCCATCGCCTTAACCACTCGGCCACGACTACTCAATGTTGCTTGTCGGTTTCATAGTACGCTTTTCTTAGTTGCCGTTTCAGGCGCACATTGTGTACCTGCATTCCTTTCTATGTTCCAGGATTGCAGTGGCTAGGAAAGCGGACGGTGAGAACACCAGAGCAGAACAGAATCGACATCGACCTGTCACTCACAATTCCACTCCACTCCACCCCGCCTTTCTGAGATCCCCGTCCCTGATTTTCCTCCATTCTCCCATCAGCATCGAGCAACGCGCTTTCAGGGAAGAGAATAGGCGGCGGCCGCTCAGGAATCTTCCTTTCGCTTCGGCCCAGAGAACTCCTCTTATAAGCCTCCGGGAGCAGAAGCAACACAGGGTTTGAGAAGCAGTACGCGCAATGTCGTTCTGCGATCAGAAAGCTCGGGGCAAAAACTCCTGAGTAACAGCGGATAAGGGGTAATAATGGGGCGAGAAAACAAAAAAATTAGCGCGTTGGCCCGTACGGGGATCGAACCCGCGACCTTGGCGTTATTAGCACCACGCTCTAACCAACTGAGCTAACCGGCCAGCTGTAAGACGTCGTTGCCTCTAGTCTTTACATATGGTATTTCTGAAGTACATACAAAAAGCAAAGGCCATGGACATCTTGTGTATGGGCCCAAATTTGATCCAAAGGCTTCCCAAACACAAACTGGAACTCATCCCTAACAGCCAGGAAGAAATGCCCTCTGTGCAATCCTAGGAGGCGTGGCTCAGCTCTCTCTCTCCACCTAGTGAGCAGCCAGGAAAGAAATCGGACAATACCAGCCAAATGCATGAGCACCCCCAAATAATTGCTCCTGGATCCCCTAATTCTGTGGATTGTCATTTAGGAGTTCCTGCGGGTCTCACAATGTTAATCAAGGATCTGCCTATGCCTGACCCTTGGGAAGGCCACAGTGCTGACCCGACTGGGGCTCTACTGTACAGGCACCCAGCTTCCTCACATGTCCCTCCTAGCGCTTGGCATCTCCCTCATCTCCTACTTCCCAACAACTCTAGGCTCTCATGCCAGATTTCTTGCCAGGCTCAGCCTTGCTGACTGAGACCATCATAGCCATGTTCTCTATCTTGTCCTCCACTCCCCAACTTACTCCCTATAAGGTCTAACTTTGGTGTTACTACTTCTGCCAGACCAGAAACTCCTCCAAATCACTTTCCACCTTTGGCCCTGGTGGCAAAGGGCTGAAATGATGGTGAACAACTGGCCAGCCACCTGGATTCAGGAGGCCTGGGACCCCAGACATGAGCACAAGGGAGAAACTTCACCAGAGCTTTACTGCAGGCCAAAGGGCCTGTTATCAGCACCCCCACAATAGGAAAGTCTTGTTACTCTGGCTTCTGTTACAAAGGAACCCAGGTGCTCAGGGCAACCTGTGAATGCAAGTGCTTTGACTCCAGAGAGAAGTATTGACAGTACCATGATGTGTCTGTTTCCACAATTTCTCCAAGGTAGGCTGGCACTGGAATACCAAGGAGGAGAAATTACAGTGGGGTAGCAGTTTGTGAATCCAGGGATCTCGAGTCCTAGTTCAGTCACAGAGAAAGTAGAGGCCATGACAAAGGGGAAGAGCCGGAACCCAGGCCTCAGGTTTCCAGCAAAGCAGGAAGAACTTTCAGGCCATTCTTGCAGTTCAGGTTAACAGGAGGAAGCAAAGACCCCCAGAGAGCTGGGGTGCTCCGACTCCTGGATAGAAAGGCAGAACAGTCTGAGCCTGGCATTCACGCGAGTCAGGACAGGGAGGTCTCCACACTGGAATCGCTGCAGCCGAGGAGGTTCTGAAATGGGAAAAGAGGAAAAGCACAAGTCCTAGGCATGCGGTTTTTAGTCCCCAACCACTATTATCCTCCCCAACTGCAGAAATTCCCTATCAATTCCCCATCCCTCTTCCTCCCAGGGACCCATCTATCTGTACCACCATGACACCCCCCATCTCCACCCTTACCTAATACGACAATCTTAGAGGACTTCCTCTCAAGCTCAAAAGAAAGCACAATAGGGCGGAGGACAGAGGAGCTGGTACAAAGTGTCCGGAGGAAGAGGGTCAAGGGCTCGTCAATCTTGGCTGAGGACTAGAAAGGGAAACTCAGGATTAATCAGAACCCAAGCTCCTAAACTCTCTGCCAAAGGCCCAAGAATGTGGGTATCTGAGCCCCACCTCCCCGCCATATCTCACCTCGAGTTGGGCTCCAAGCCCCACAAATTGCAAGGCCACTTTCCCTGGCACTCGGGCAAACTCCAAGAGGGAAGTCCACTCATTAGGACACAGCCCTAGTGCTGCTGCCACATGATGATTCCTACAGGTCACCACAGCTTCGGCAGTCCCATCCTCCACCAGGAGCCTGAGGGGAGGGTGGAGGAAATAAAAACTCCCACAGCAACCCAGGTGGCCAATCCCTGGGACCCAACGTGCCTCCTTCCCCACTGTTTCCAGTATTTAGCTCACTTTAACCCTTATTCATTCATTCAAAAAATATTAAGCAATTCCTTTGAGCCAGGAATTACGCTAACATAGAAACAGCAGATAAATGAAGTACATGGTGCGATGGGTGGCCACCTGGGCTCTCACCTGATGTTGGCCTGGCTTACAGATGTCTGCGTGGGGCAAGCAGGGTCCTGACGAGTGCACCTTCCCTGGGATGAAGACAGTGGTTGAAAAATCGTTTTGGTCCTATCACCTCCCTCTGTCACTCTACAGCCAGCTCAGCATCTCCCCTCTCATACCTGGGGGCAGATGCTGGTACAATGAGCACACACCCAGCAGAGCTGAAGGCTAAACACAGAAACGATATGACAAGATGCAGTGGCCCGGAACGGGGCCCGGCCACCCTGTAGAAGTTCAGCCAGGTAGATATGGGGCAGGGGAACACTAAAGAGAGACAGAGAGAGACAGGGGTTAAGAAACAGGCCAAGGAGTTCTGAAAGCAGGGAGGGTCTGGAAAGACTTAGCAGGCATAGGATGGGCACAGCAGTGGCTTCCTTGCTCTCCTGAAAGCTCCGTGGCACTTCCATTTTGATTCCTGATCTCTGATAATCATCAATTATTTTTCAGACTTGAATACCACGGTGTTAGCCAAGAAATATTTGCACGTTACATTGAAAAGTCTTCAAAAGCCTAGAACACTAAATCATTCTGGGTAAAATGATAGATACTGTGCATTTTTAATTTGGGGTAGAGGAAATCTTCTGATTCAACAGATTCTGCTGGAATTGAAGAAGACTATAGTGATGGCAAAAGTTTCAGAGCCAGGGAGGCCATGAGGTTTAGGGGTCAGGGCCCGAGGCACTGACCTGATTGTAGTCTCCGGGGGAAAACTCAGGACCTGCACATAAGTGGATGACCGGAAGCAACAGTAAACATTGTGGGATCTGCAAGCAGAAGAGGAATAGTGATGAGCAGAAAGAAGTCAAGTTGGGGTAGGAGCTGGGACTCAGAAATCATGAACCACAGGTTGGCCACGGTCCTGAGGGACGTACCCTGGCCCTGGCCCTGGCCCTACCAAAGCTGGGGGAAGGATAAGAGAAGGACTGGTCTGCAGCATCTCATCAGGGTAGTGGGCGCAAATGGCAGACTGATGTGGAAAATTACATCAAAAGGAAGGTGTTCTTGCAGCAAGGTTAAGTGGGGTGAGCATTAAAGAGAACCACATCAGTGGGCAGAGGCGGCCATGCCACACAACACAGATCTGCACCTGGAAACCCTTTTCTCCAGCTGGACAAAGTGGACCTGGGCTCCAGGAAGGAGTCCTAGCAAGGGAGGCAAGTGTGGGTCTTCGATATATATGTCCAGGTGAGGGGGGAAGTCACAGTCAGCAGTCTGTAGGGCCACAGTTAGCTTCACACACCCTCTTATGGCCTCAGTGTTATCTACAGAAGGAAGGGGTCGGGGTTAGTGGGATCTGTCAGGACCACAAGGTCCCATCACTCTATTTCACACCTTCCCCCCAAAGGAGAGGTCATTACCAGGTTTCGTCTGGAGAGGGGTCAGAAGGGGCTTACACAGTGTCCGTGACAATATCTCAGCTGAGAAAGACACCAAGGAATTGGTGATGCTGGAAGGTCAGAAAAATACACTGAGAATGGAGGCATAAGAAAGCACAGAATGGAGAGAACATATCAAAGTACAGAAAAAGGAGCTAAATATCTTTTAGAACTTCATATATAAAGCCTTGGAAGACTTTGAGATCTGCCAAATCAAAAAAATAACAGGGCTTATGGGAAAAAAAGAGTTGTGGCAGATCATTTAAAACCTATACAACTTTGTAACCAGAAGCCTTCCTAGCAGAGGTAAATCTCCACTTGCATTTACAGCTAGAATCTCAGGCAGTCCATCATTTGCAGGCTTATATCTTGGGGCTCACGCCCCCTCCTTCAAAACATAGGTCCTCGAAAACATTCATTAATGGACACCAATTTCATAAAAATTACATAAAAAATTCATTTTTTTTAACATAGGGGGAAACATCTCTGTAGCTCCTTCGTTTATACATGCAGCTACCTCAAAAAGCTTACATGAGCAAAGTATAGTTGTTCCCAAGGCCATAAGCCAGCCACCTCCTGCACTAAAAGAAGGCCCTTCTTGAGATTTTCGGCTTTTTTCCTTATATTTTCTTATGTTTCTTTTATTTCCTTTTGTTGCTAAGGCTTTTCCTTAATTGTGAGAAAGTCTGCTTGTGATCCTTTCAAAACAGTTACATGCTAGGGGGAAAATCAGGTATGAAACACAACTTCCCTTTTACACTAACATTCCTCTACCAGCTAACTCATATTAAACATCACATGCTGCCTATAGTCCCAGCTACTAGGAAGGCTGAGGCAGGAGGATCCCTTAAGCCCAGAAGTTCAGGGCCGCAATGCACTATGAACGCGCCTGTGAATGGCCACTGCACTCCAGCCTTAGCAACAAAGCAAGACCTTATCTCTCTAAAAAAAAATAAAAATAAAAATAAACTAATAAAAAAAAGAAACACATGCTGAAGCAGAAAACAACAGACTGTTCACCAAACCCAGCTCACTCAGCAGGAGAGAGAGTGGCCAAATTAACCAGAGGGCTGGTGGATATTTACTTGCCACTGAGCAGGTCAGTCAGTGAGGATTCAGGCAGTGCCTTGTTTGTAGCTGGCACATCTGGGATGTCTTGGGAACTCTCAAGCTCCAGGGTCCACTTATCCTGGACAGTGAGGCAGGACACACAGCCAGCCAACTCCAGAGGACGCTGAGATGTGCAAGACGAACCATCCTTCTCGAACAACATTGATGTCTGCCGGGAAATGGGAAGATGACTGCTTCTGAGTGTGTCCTACTCCAGCAAGAGGTTCATAAAATACTCTGACCCAATTTTGTTTTCTTTTTGGAACCTGGAGAAGGAATTGATCTCGACAGACAGGCTTTCTAGTTTATCTAAACTCAGCCTTCTTCCAGGAGACCAGGCACTGGTACACCCCTCCAGATCCCAACCGGTAAAGCCTGCAAGGGAGGGGTATGATGAAGTAGCACACTCACAGGGGTGCCAGAAGCCACAAGTCGGTACACTTGCCCTGGGTGCAAGAAGTCAAACCAGCGGACTGAAGAGCCAAGGAAGATGAGGAGAACCTGTGCGGGAAAGCAGGGTGATGGGATCCCAGCCAGGGACTCAGGGCACAGAACATCAGGTCCTAGGTCCCTGGAGTCCCAGTTTACCTTTTGATCTTTGTCCTCATTTCCCTGAGGCTCGGGTGGGCCCCATCCAGTTCCCTCCTTCTTCTGTGTGCCCCCAAGCCAGCTCCCTGACACATAGAAACAGAGGGTGGGCTTGGGCACCTCTGGATTGGCCCCTTCAGGGACACAAAAATTCCTCTTCATGAGGGCCTCCTTGTGGGACAGCAAGAACAGCCGACTCTGTTCTATGTGGGGTCCGTCTGGGGAGGTGGAATCTGTCTGAGGTGTTGCACAGGTGGCTGAATGAAGGCAGGATCTGGGAACAGGCAGGATCAGGGCATCAGCCAGAAAGATCTGGACATAGACCCTGTTGGGAGAGACAAGGAATAGATTGCTTAGTGATGCAGGCATTGGGTGTTCTGGGCCCCAGCATCCCACCACCTGCACCAGGCCCTTCCTTCCCCTCAGACTCAGGAGTATACCCCAAGGAGCTGACCTGGCCTGCTGCTTCTGGATAAAGCCTGGGGTGCTCAGCTCCTTCCAGGAAGGGAAGCTGCTTCTGACGTTCCTCTCTACAACCAGCTGAAACTTCTCTGCCCGCACCAGACAGCCTAGAGGAAGAAAGTTTTCTATTTTGGCAAGAAAAGACAACTGTGGGGTGGGCAGTGTGGCAGACTACCCTACAGGTCTCACTGCCCAACCCAGACCAGAGCTGCTCTCCTAACTGCTGCCCACATCTGGCCCCACTTTAGAGGAGTGACACCTCCAAGGTGAAACCATTCCATCCACATGTCCAACCCCACCTTGGCCTCCTAGGCTGAAAGGCCTTGTTTATAGTTTCTCACAGATCCCTAAAATGCCCCTTCCTAAATCTAAGAAACTTTCCTACCCAGCGTTTCCCTGTCTACAAAACTCAGTAAGCCCAAATAAGACCATTATTATTCTAACTAAGAATATAGGAAACAGGAGTTGTAACTCTGGTGTGCATGCTAAGAGCTATGGTGGAAGAAATGCATGCTGGGAATTGGAGCTAGGGGTCCCCCTGCTTCTTTGCCTGCCATATGGTGCTCCCAAACATCTCCCAAAAGTTGTTGACCAACATGTGTCACTTCAGTATCTCTGATAAATCCCAGCAGATGCTTCCTCCCAGGCTCCCCCAGTTCTGAGAACCACTACCCCACCACCGTCTTTCTACATCTGAACTCCAAACCTAAGAGCCGTGGGTCAGTAAGGGGTTGTGAGTGCTTGGCCAGCAGCAGGCAGTGCAGGGAACCACTTTGGTCCCTCAGTTGCAGACAACCTTTATGAGATGAAGCCACCAGAACCCCAAGTAAAACCTGCAGGAAGATGAAGGCCAACGTATCAAATATTTATTAAACAAATACAGAGCATCTACCATGTGCCAGGCACTGTGTTAAACAGTAGAGCTATAAAGTGAACCAAAGAGACATGGTCTTTGACCTCAAAGGACTTATACTCAAGTGGGGAAGACAGACATGAAAAAACACACATGCATTTGTACCTGCAACAGGAGAGAAAGGGCACAAATTGAGGTTAGAGGTAAGAGACCATGTAGGACCTCACAGGACATAATGAGGAGTTTGGTTTTATTTTATATGTACTGGGAGAACCACAAAAAGGACTTAAACAAGTGAGTTCTGTAATTCAAGTTACAGTTTCTACCCTCTCTTTCTAGATGCTGTAGGAAGAATGAATTGGAGGGGGCCAAGAACAGAGGGAGCAGTCTACTTACAAGGCTAGTGTAGTCAAAATGACAAAAAAATGACAGTGACCTGGACCAGTGTAGTGGCAAAAAGAGGATGTCCTCTGAGCCCTGCTGGTGCCCCCCACTAGCCCCTGCCCCCTTTACCTGGGCTGGTTGGAAGTCAGAGGGCTGCAGACAGAGACAGGACCAGGCCAGGCGGTGATTGAGTTGGCAGCTGGGCAGGTGGGAGGCCTCTGGGAGGGGCAGAAGGGCCTTAGGGTCAAAGGAGGCCCAGGCCCTGCGCAGCCCTTCCTCTTTCAAGGTAGCCAGAGTGGGGAAAGAGTAGGGAGTCTGTAGCTGAGCATACTGTTAGGAGGGAAGAGAAATCAGACCATGTGTCCCATGTGCCCCAGCAGTCCTCCAGCGCATTATTAGCTCCGCCACCCATCTTTCCCCCACAGTCTCATACTTTCTGGAGGGGACAGTGATGCAGCTCTTGAAGGATCTCAACATGTGCTTTCCGAATGGGGCTGCCTGGCGGAGCCAGAAGATCCAGGGTAGGAGCCAAGAGTTGCAGCCCCAGGCCGGGGTTCCCAGAAAAGGAAGGCTGCAGGAACTGCTGGTATCTCAGCACGTGGGGACACAGCCTTGGCCAGGGAAAAAAGCACGGTCACTCCTCCAAGACCCTGTCTCTTCAAGGATCCTGCTTCCCTTGCAGAAGTGTCCTACTCCCACCGCCTCCCCATCCCAGACCCTTGTCCTCCTCACTTGCAAGCCAGCTCCTCCAGGACCTTGGCAGCCCACAGGTAGAGGGGAAGTCCTAACTGACGTTCCCAGACCAGCTGCTCATACAGGGAGGCCCCAAAGACTTGGTGCGATGACTGAGTTCCAGGCTTCTGACGAGAGAAGCCCCGAAAAAGAACAGCACCACGGAGGCAGGGGGCTAGCACTGGCCTTCTTGTCCCTCCACCCACTGACTGGAGGAGGTGAACATCCTGGAGCTGGGAGAAAGCAGGAAAAGTGAACCTGCTGCCTGGGTTCCAAGAGAAAGAAACACAATCTCTGCCACACTGGCTGGCCTCACCTCTATCACAACCCACTCCCCTGCAGTCAGCCTTCAACTCCCATGAACTCCACTCAGTCTGCTGTGGGCCAGGTGGCTCTTGGCAGGACAGGCAAGCCTTAGGCTTCTCACCAGGCTGCCTGAGATCAGCTGGGCCCTACACCTATGCTTCAGCCACCTCCTCTCCAGCTGGAAGGCCTTTCTGTGAAGGAGATGCTCTGGCCTCAACCCCTCCTCACAGTGTCCAGACTACTCCTTTCTAATCTGAGCTTTTTGTCCAAATCATTCTTTACAAAAGCACTACCCTCCTGCCACAACACACTTTTTATTTGTATATTTTTGCTGTAGAAGTTCCCACCCTGCCACAGAAAGAAACAAGCCCATGAGAAGCTGCTGAGAGGGGCAGCAGCCCTGATCTCTCATGTACCTCCAGACAGACCCCTGGTCGCATCACCCTCCTGAGGCCACGGAACTGCTGGTAGGCGAGGCAGAGTCCCAGCTTCCCGTCCAGCTCATAGAGGCCAGCAGCCTCATTCAACACACCAGTGACGGTTCCCTGCAAAAAGGCCAGAGGTGCAGTTGATCACTATTCCCTTCCTCTCTGGACACCCACATTTCCTGCCCCTTGAGTTCTAGGATCTCTCCCTGCCCTCACCGAATATGATAAAAGTGTGGAGTCCCGGATAAGACCTCTTTGCCCCGTCCTGTCCTGGGAGTTGCTGGGGGTGGGGAGTGGCTTGGGGTAAGCCTCCAAGAGGGGTCCTTCCAGGTCCATTTCCAGCTCCTCTACACATTCTGGTTTCAGCAGCAACAGACGGGAGGAGGGACTGGTTGTCCAAACACGGTAACGGTGACCACGGACCCTGGATACTCGCAGTTCTGTCAGCACATAGGCCTTACCAGGCCAAAGGGCTCGGTGCCACACCAGCTGAGCAGGGATCTGGCTTGTGCGGAAACAGGCAACATGGCACATGAGACACCTCTCCCAATGCTGCCCTCTGCTACAGTCCCTTTCCATCATGATTTGACCTCAAAGATCTGCTTCCCGTGAGTCTTCCTTCACCTCTTCATCTTCCCTATGTTTGCTAATTAAATCTTTTTTTTTTTTTTTTTTTTAGACAGAGTCTCACTTCTGTTGCCCTGGCTCGAGTGAGTGCCATGGCGTCAGCCTAGCTCACAGCAACCTCACACTCCTGGGCTCAAGCAATCCTACTGCCTCAGCCTCCCGAGTAGCTGGGACTACAGACATGCGCCACCATGCCCGGCTAATTTTTTCTATATAGATTTTTAGTTGTCCAAATAATTTCTTTCTATTTTTTAGTAGAGACGGGGTCTCGCTATTGCAGGCTGGTCTCGAACTCCTGACCTTGAGCGATCCACCCGCCTCGGCCTCCCAGAGTGCTAGGATTACAGGCGTGAGCCACCGCGCCCGGCCTGCTAATTAAATCTTAAGCCACAGAACTTTCAGGATCTCTCCTCTCATAGGAGATGCCAAATATTTACTAATCCCTTCCCCAAGATACAAACCGTCCCTAAAACTTCCTACAAAAATACAATACATAAATGTTCCATTGAGAAAAGTATGCCTAATTCAGCATAGGAATCCCCTATCCCACTCCATAACATACAAACAACACTCATTTATGTAATCGATACGTATCGGGTACATATGGATCCAGTGTTGGGATAGATGTTAAGAAAAGTACAATAAACTCTTCCCTCTTCTCCAGCATATTTCATACCACTGGGGACACAGACACAAACCTAAGCAATAATATGGAGCCATATATAATCAAGTGTCAGAACCAATATGCATTTGGAAAGAGAAGGTCAGGATGGGGTGGAATGATCAGGAACACTTAGTGAAAGAAGTGGAACTTGAACAGAGTCTTGAAGGATATATCTGCCTTGTCTAAGTGGAGAGGAGAGAGAAGGGAGATTCAAGGAGGAGGCAACACAGAAATACTCAGAATTCAGAATGAGCAAGGCATGATTTGGGGGCACTGAAAACAGTGGTCAGGATGGAGAAGAGAGAATGTTGTTGGGAGTTGCAGGAGGCGAAGATGAGGAAAAAAGCCCAGAAATGCCATGCAGGGTGTATTACAGACTAGAGAAGGAAAATGATAGGGCAGTTGTTGAAGAATTTTAAGCACAAGGAAGACGAAAGTTTTATGGGTAAGACTATTCATAAATATAACAATCTTCTAGGGCATGCTCCTCCTGCAGGCATAACAAAGCATTGCTGCCTTTCTCAGGGGCTTCAAAACACACTGATGACCCAAGACACTTGAACTTCATGGTCATCTGAGCTCAGCTTCACATACCTCCATTCCTACTTTAAAACCAGCTGAGTTCTACCAACTAGACCTTGGACATCACAACTCATCATAAGATATTGCTGAGACCTTACTTAAACTTACCACTTGGCACCAAACACGTTGTTAATAATGGTTTGAACAAATGAAGGAATCCTGGTGCTTCCCCCCATGTTCATTAAACTTGTCCTCTACCCTCTCACTAGGACCTATGATATCTCAGCCCCTTCTCCTTCACTCAGATGTTGAGGTCCTTCCCTTCCCCTGTCTGAACGCCAGGCAGGATCTGAGTGCCTGGCCTTTTTACCCTTCACCCTGGAGCCTCCCAATACCACATCACCTCAACTCCTTTTCTAAGGCAAAATCCTACTTGAGGAAGACAGATCCAAGACACCCCAGTGCCAAACACTGATGCTGACCCTCTCCAGTTGGGCCCCTGTCACTGCTTAGCAATCTCTTCTCCCTGGCTACCCAGCATAGCAGTAAAGTTAACCTTTCCTCCTCTTTTCAGAGTCTAGTCCTTCAATTCCAAGAGATGACCTCAGCTCCTCTACTATACTCCACTATCCTCTACTATAGAAGAGATTCACTGAGTCACCTAGAGTGTCCATATGTCTCCAACTTGTCTCTCCAGTAGCTCAAAAACATACCAAGATCACTCCTCTTCTGACCTCTGTCCGGGGCTTACTCCAAAGCCCACCTCTGCACCCTCATTATAACTCATGCATGTGCATGTCCACAGCCTTTAGGATCCTGCACAGTAATCGCTGACTCACTCATCTGGTTGACAGCCTCCAGAGGACAAAAGCCATTATCCTGTTTGATTTTGTGCCTGTAAGTTACCAAGGTGCCTAGCATATAGCACATGCTCAGTAAAGGCTGAATATAGGTGCAGGTTATTCTCCAGTCCAGAACATTCTCCCCCCTACTCTAGCGATTCAAATCCTATCCATCCTTTAAGACCCAGGTCAAGTGTAAAGTCTCTCACAAAGCTACCCGCCACGTGATGAACTCTAGCTGACCTGCTATAGCAGTTACAAACTGTACCACACATCTTGGAACTTACATACTATTTTGTATTATTCTCTGCTTGTCTCATAAATCAATACCATATAGGATCTACAATAAAATTACAAACTACCTGAACAACTTACTCTATTCCGCTTTGGTTACCCTGCAAAATTCAAGCACGTTTCAGAGATTTCTCCCTTCACATACAACACACGAATGAGCCAATCCCACCCTTCACAGAATTTTCTCATGGTCTCTAGATTTAAAACTGTATGATGTAAAGAAAATGAATAAGATCTTCTTTAACCTAGGAGGAAAAATCTAGATCAGAAATTTGGGCAGCATCTAAGCTTTTTTTTTTTCACTTGCTGAATCTTCAGGTGAAACTAAGCATTTTTAGTTTTAACATTTTTAATTACTTTACATTCTAATCAGTTACTCACATACACACACACAAGAATTCTTATGGTGCTAATAAATTGCAGTTTCCTTTTCTGATATACATGTTAGAAAGCCTTTTCCTTCTTTAATTGTTTTGAATGCTTTTGAAGCAGTATTCAGATAATTATATAAGTCATAAAACAATGGTTAGAATAAAAATTAATGATTTTTAAATTGTACCAGTTGATGTAAAAAGAGTCAACAACAAGCAGCAAGTTTTTAAAAATGCATTTACTCAATGTCTTAATGGTGTCAACGTGAATATTTACTTGGTCATCCTCCTAATGCAGGGTAAGAACAAATGATTCCGGCAGGTTTTTAAAAGGTCATACGCAATACAAAAGCTGTGTACTCGGAGGAGTCGCACAGCAGGAAAATCTATTCCCTACCTCCATGCACAGACAACATTACCTGGCCTTCCCTCAACAGCACAAACACAGAAAACAACTCTCCCAGCTGCCCTCCTTTCCTACGTGGTTCCGTCTACAATGTTATCTTTCCTATTAAAAGCTCTAACACCCCTTCCACACCTCCATGCCCCTGAGTTGACCCTGCTTCTCACCTGCACAACAATGGACACATGGTTGGCAGTCTCGCTGACCTCTGAGGATGATTCACCAAGAGATAGGACAAAGTAAGATTTGCGTTGACTTTTCACCAGAGCACTCAATCGAACCAGCTTCCCAGCCAGGTTTCGCTGCACACCTCTGGGCTTGCTTCTAAGAAGGAAGAAAGAGGAGAGGAAGAAGTCAGTTTTATTTCTCTTCTTTTTCCCCACAAATGTTTTCCCTTCCACAGTAAAGAAAATGTGGTGGTGAAGTAAAATATCCATGGCACAAATCTATTACCCTGAAACCTCCAAACTCTTCTTGCCCTAGACAAGGCACATTTCCCTTGAAGAAACTTCCTCTTAACATTCTTAATATTCAAAGCCCCATCATTCCCTTGATTTGGAACATTCCATCTATATTACTATCAATACCCTTCTTTCCCTCCCACTGCTGACCCACCATTATCCTCCAGGTTTCACAGGGCTCCCTCCACCCCCAGAGGGGGACAAATTACCGGAGCCTGAGCATGTGGGAGGCACTCTCTGTGTAGAGGACAGGGATAGGCGTGGGAGGACCAGGACTGATGGTCAAAGGAAACACTGGCACAGGGGCATCCCAGAGCTCCAAGTGCCCTTCCCCTGAGAAATTCCCCCTGGCAGGAGGGAGGTAACTCCAACTGGGGAACAGAAAGAGATGGCCCAACCAAGAAAGGTCCAGATCTATGACCTAGAAAAGACCAAGAGCAAGGGTTAACCGGGACCCTAGCATCCAATCCACCCCCATCCCCTTTTGTTCCCTCAGAGACTTAATTGCCTTGCTTCCTAGACATCATTCTTGTTAGGATCTAAGACACCTGACCTTTGCCTTCCACTTACCTCACAGCACAGGATTCCAGTGTTATCTCTCACATAGAGGCCTCCATCCCTGCGCTCTTGTTCCACATCCCCTGATAGGTCTGTTAGCGTCCCTAAAAGTAAAAGCCGCTCCCGGGCCAGAGGGGTCCCATTTGGTCCAGCCTCCTGGGCCCAAGCCTGGTAGGCACTACTGCTCCAGGACAGGTGGCTGCAGCACGGCAGCTGCTGGTGGGTCCTGAGGTCCTGAACTGAGACAAAGCTGTAGAGTGAAGGGAACAGAGGTCCTACAAAGTCAGGTCCAAGCCTAGGAGGCTACCCTCAACCCTGACAAATTTCCAAGAGCCCAAGGAAAGGTTGAAGGGGAACAAGGACTAAGAGATGAGTTTGTATGATTGACTGAAAGGGAAAACCCTGGGGGTAAAGGCCTACAAAATGAGGATGGTGCTGGGTCCCAAGGCTGGGCAATACCTAGGGAGACCAGGAAGAAAGACCGTGCTGAGTAATATCTTGAACAAGATGGTGCCAGGGAGAGGACTCAAGAGAAATGAAGTAGGAATGCAAGAGGGACCTGAGGAAATGAGTGTGTAGGGAGAACAGTTTATAGACAGCTCCCTTAAAGACATCTCAGCTCATAGATCCATAGAGAACTCCAATGGGGCCACTTAGGCATCTGCCTGATGGCTCAACCACAATGTCCCCAGGCAAGTTTCATTTCTAGCCTAGAGTATCATAGTACTAGAGACACTAGAGACTGGTTGGGAAGCTGAGGCTGAGATGGTGGGTGTTGGATGTGTCACAAATAATAGTTAAATTTATCAAAGTTTGGATAAATTCACATTTTTATAATACCATTATTCTTATTTGCTTGCATTCCCTTTTTTTTTTTTTTTTTTTTTAAGAGACAGAGTCTCACTATGTTGTCGAGTCTGAAGAGTAGTGACTATTCACAGGCACAATCATGGTACACTACAGCCTCAAACTCCTGGCCTCAGGTGATCCCCCTGCCTCAGTCTCCTGAGTGGGTGGGACTACAGGTGCATGCCACCACACCCAGCCTCCCAGGATTTTTTTAAGTGGAAAAGAAATAGGATAAGGGTCAAAACGAACATCACAATTAGTCCTCCTTGTTGTAGTCATGAATATAATCCATAAGCAAGTACTAAAGATGGGAATGCTGTTGCAGATGGCCACCTCCCCTTCTGCATATGCTCTCATACTTCCCCACATGGCTTTGGAGAAGATAAAAGGCACAGACAGAAACTAACACATGTTAAGCCCCTGCTGTGAACATTGTACTATATTGGGTACAGTCACACTTGTGTTTAGTTTTCACTAAAAAAAAACACGCCTGTATTCCTCTCTGAAGTGGCAGAAAACCAAAAACAAAACCTGTAAATGCCGCCAATGAGAAAACTTAGAGAGGCTCACACAGAAGCATAGGTGGCACAGCCAGGTGTGTCTTATTCAAAAGTCCATGTTCTTTCTTTGTGTTTTCGTACTTCTGTGAAGGTCCAGGAAAAAAATAACTAGAGAGACCTGTCTCTTTATCTTAGATATCTTCAGGACAGAAAACAGTAAGGATAAGGGTCACTTTTCCCACATTCTTCAAGTTCTGGGTCAGGACACTAAAGATGACAACCTCAGTCCTTTGCATTTGTCATTGCTCTTTAACTTCCAAGGCCTAGCACAGTGCCTGGCACACAGAAAATGGAAAAACAAAGAAAATTACATTTAGGCCAGGCGCGGTGGCTCATGCCTGTAATCTTAGCACTTTGGGAGGCTGAGATGGGAGGATATCTTGAGGCCAGGAGTTCGAGACCATCTCTGGGCCACATAGCAAGATCCTACCTCTATAAAAAATTGAAAAAGAAACAAAACCCAGGTATGAGTACCCTCAGAAATTACTTTGAAATTAAAATAGTAAAATATCATTTAATGTCTCCCAAATAGGCAAAAATAAATAAGTAAAAATTTTAACCAAGGTAAAATTTAGAGAGGCTCAAGACATAGATGTACACTAGCACGTGTGTAAGCTGGTACACATCCACTGGAAAGCAATGTGGAAACAGCTAATGAGGTTGATGGTGTGCATTCCCTATGAACTTGCACTTTCTCCTTCAGAACACTGGTTACTTTTGGAGGAGTAGGGAAGAAGTGGATTAGAATAGTTAGGGGGCTTCACTAAATCTCTGACATTTTACTTCTTATAAAAAAGAATTGAAGCAAATACAGCAAAATGTTAAGGTTTTTAAAAGTTAAGCCGTAAGTACATAGCTACGCACAATGTCACTAGCACACTATTTAGTTCAGCTAATTCTTTTTGACAGGCAAGACTTTCTCAATGAAGGAAGCAGTATATTGATTTACATTCTGGCAGACCAGCATTTCAAGTACTCTTGGTTTATAACAAAATCCATGGATGAAAAACTTACACAGAATTATGGAGTGGTGTTTTGGATAATCAAGCTGTCTTCTCACCAAGGATTCTTTGCCTTTACTAACAGACAACCAGGCTGTGTGAAATGTTTCTAAACTGTCATAAGCAGGCTAAGGGAGTGCCAGGGAAAAAAATACCCTGTGCTAAACAGCTTTCTACCTTTTTTGCTTTTAAAAAGATAGACAGTGATATGTATATTCACAAAATAGAATACCATAGACCCATTAGGTGAGCTAGAGCTATATGCATCGATATGAATAAATCCCAGAAGCATAATGTTAAGCACAAAAAGCAAATTGCAGAGAGTATATAAGGTATGGTACAATTTATATAAAGACTAAAGGTATGCAAATCTCTACGGTATACTGCTTAGGGATAGATGCATATGTAGTAAAAATACAAAAATATTCATGGGAATAATATACCCCACATTCAAGAAAGTGGCTACTTCTATGAGGAGGTAAACGGATTTCTTTTGCAGGACTTGTCAGAGCCTTTAATATATTAATAAGCCCTGTGACTCTCCTAGAGAAGGCTATCAAATTCAATCCCTCTCAAACTTATTTAGCCACGAACTCCATTTCTTGTGGTGTTTTATTAACACTGCAAGAACACTTTAGGAAATGGTAGTACAGTAACATAACCAAATACAAGAAAAGACCCTCAGAAGTCCTTAAACTCAGGTTTTAAACAACCATCTACACTTCATGAATTCATACATCTCTCTGTATCTTAGTTTCCTAACACACAAAACAAAGATAATACCAGCCTCTCTCCTCACTTTGAGATCTTTTTCCAAATTTTCTATCTTCCCATTTCCTCTTTCCTCTTAACCTGACTTAACCCAATTTAGGGAACTTTAGGAAAAGGAAAGCTTGATGGAGAATAGGAAAGTCTCGCAGAAAGGGATGTGTTTAGCAGGGTGTGGTATGTGACTTTAGTCCCAGCTACTCAGGAGGCTGAGGCAGGAGGATCGCTTGCGCCCAGAAGATCAAAGCTGCAGTGAGCTATCATGATGCCACTGCACTCCAGCCTGGGCAACACAGTGAGACCGTGTCTCGGAAAAAAAAAACAAAACCAAAAAGTGAGAAGGGGACATGTTTAGGCCACCTTGTTCTCCACTCACTCTTCTCACTTCCCCTTTTCTACTACAGGTTCTTCCTTTTGATCCCCAAATTCAACCTCTCCTCCAACCCCACCTCTCCTTACCTGTAGCTGAGGGGTAGTGTATAACCCTGGTTACTTCCCTGGGACGACCAGACAGTCTTCACACAATCAATTACCAACTGAGTCAACTGAACATTAGGCTCCTTGTCAGTTGGACACAGGGTCTCTTGGATGAAGGCCTCAGCAGTCTTAAGCCAGGCTTGTTCCTGAGGAAAATGAATCTAGTTAAAACATGACTATCTTGCCTACCAAGGAAACTTTTGAAAAGAACAAAGGGCTAGATAAAAGATTCCAGAGGGCATGTAAAATGAAGATCCAAATAAATGAGGCTGGGTTCAGTGGCTCACGCCTATAACCCCAACACTTTGGGAGGTCGAGATGGGAGGATCACTTGAAGCCAGGAGTTTGAGACCAGCCTGGGCAACACAGTGAGACACCATCTCTACAAAAAAAATTTTTTTTTTTTTGCAATTCTTCATGCCTTAACAAAAAAAATGTTTTTTAAAGTAGCCGGGTGTGGTGGCAGGAGGATCATTTGAGCCCAGAATTTCAGAGTTGCAGTAAGCTATGATCATTTCACTGCACTCCAGCCTGGGCAACAGAACAAGACACTCTCTCTTAAGAAAAATCAAATTTTAAAAAAGTAAAGGAATTTAGAACTTGAAGAAACCTTATAAATCTTAGTCCAGCCATACAGCTACCTCAGACGGCTAGCCATACAGCTTTGGTCTTGCCTTTTTCTCTAACAAACTTGTACTAATCCTTAAGATGCTCAACTGGAGTATATATTCCTGTATAGACCTTTCTCTGACCATCCCAGACGGACTGCTGCTCTTTCCTTAAAGATCCCACAGGACCTTGTACATAGCTCTATTACGAACAATGATCACCACGTTTAGTGGTATCCCATTTTACGTGGACTCCGGTTTTTCTTTTTTTTTTTCCGAAAGAGTCTCACTCTGTTGCCTGGGCTAGAGTGCCGTGGCGTCAGCCTAGCTCACAGCAACCTCAAACTCCTGGGCTCAAGCGATCCTCCTGCCTCAGCCTCCCGAGTAGCTGGAACTACAGGCATGCGCCACCATGTGCCCGGCTAATTTTTTCTATATATTTTTAGTTGTCCAGCTAATTCCTTTCTATTTTTAGTAGAGACGGGGTCTCGCTCTTGCTCAGGCTGGTTTCGAACTCCTGAGCTCAAACAATCCACCCGCTTCGGCCTCCCAGAGTGCTAGGATTACAGGCGTGAGCCACCGTGCCCGGCCTGGACTCTGGTTTTAAAGTCAGCAATTTGAAAAGCAAGAATGGGTAGAAATACCACTGAAAAATCCTTCAAAATGCTGATAAAGAATAGGACACAGTATTGTACTATGTATATGTAAATGTGCCTAATTAGTAGACAATACATAAAAAGGACGTAGGCAGAGTATAATTTTTAAAATCAATTTCCTTTTTTTTCACGTGTATGCATTTAAGTTCCCCCAAGCTAAACACATGCAAGATACAATCCCACTGGGTTTGTTTCCTGTCTTTTCAGCTAAGATGTGGGCTTCCTAAGGAGGACATGGACCATCTTTGTATACGTCACACAGATTCTAGACACATAGTTGTCATTATATACAGGTAACTTTAGAGAAGGGGACCAGCTTGGTCTACTCCAAGTGCCGGGCAGCTTTATTTTTAAAACAAAGAGTTCAGCAGTACTTAGGGGTAGGCCCTTTACCTTTCTTGATCCTCGATGCTACTTATAAACCGTTACAGCTCCATCCCTGGACTTCCAAGCCTCCCCTGTTAACTTTCTGATCAGCCTTCCACATTCAGCCAATCTTTTGCAGCCTAAAAACAGCTTGAAGGCCAATCTTCAAGTTCTAGATGATTTCAGCATCCTGTGGACAGCCCTATCACTGACCTTCACCCCACCTCAGCCAAACACTCTCATTCATGGTCAGAGTTATGGACACTGGACCAGATCATCATTCAAAGCCACACCACCAACACAATCAAACCAGGCTCTTATACTTTTTGTCTTCCTCTCTCAGTCTTCTTTTTTAGCTCCTATTCCTCTGCTGGCCTGTCCATTGCTTGGCACACTGAATACCATTATTTCTCAAAGTGATAACCACTACCTCAAAGTGAAATCACCTAAGCTTTGTTAAAAAGGCAAACATGGTCTCATCTACTGAACCAGAATGGGGGTTGGGGGAAGACCTAGGTGTATTTTAAATAAGCTCCACAGATTAATATTGATATAGGTTGAAGTTTAAGAACACTATATGCTTTCCCCTCAATTATCTCAACCATTGCATGGCTTTAACAACCATGATTTTTTCTATATCTCTAGCTGAGATCACTTTCCTGAGCTTTTGTCCTATCCATCTGCCTACCTGATTCTCCATGGCCAACCTACAGGCAGCACGCATGCCTAACACTGAACTTTTCTCAAAACCCGCTCCTCTTCTAGCATTGTTCTAGTGCTATATTCACTAACTTAGCAAATAGCACCGTTTACCAAATAGTTTTTCTACCCTGAAACCTGGATGTCCTTCTTAACCCCTTCCTTTCCCTACATAAGACCCAATCCTTCAGATTCCATCTCCTTAGTAACTTTTTTATTGTCTTCACTTCTGGAACCTCAACATTGCTGCCATGGTCAGGGTCACCAACCTCTCTTTGCATTTCAACCACAGTCTTCTAACGGTACCCTCAGGCCACTCTACACACCGCTAACTCAGTAAACTAAAACCTAAATTTCATTCAATCACTCTTCTGCTTAAAACCTGCCAACTCTCAGTTATCCTCAGGTTAAGTCGTTGTTCAGCAAGACTTACAAGAGTGTCAGCTCTGAACCCTTCACCATCACCCAATTGAACTTCTTGAGTTTTTCATACACCTGCTCTATCTCTTGCCTTTGAATATGTGTTTGCTTCCGCTTGAAGCCTCTTTCAGCGCCTCGCTAACTCCTACACACACTTCGGGGATCAGAAGCTTTTCCTGGTTATCAGTTGCCCTTTCCCCTACAGCTGCTTCAGGGGTCTCTTCCAGGAACCCACAGCCCCATAGCTCCCCTATTAACCTGCTCCTGGTTTTCCACTAGGCTTAAACCCTAGAGAGTGAACGGAGACGTGTTTAAGGCTCACAATGGGCGCCGCATGAATGAAAGAATAAAAATATTCGCAGAATCAGTAAGAGAAATAGCGAATCTCCTCGCACCGCCCGCATCCCCGGCCCCGGGCGCGGCCAGCGAGGTCAGGGAACCCAGAGATAGAAGGTGGAGGGAGCAGGAGAACAAAGAAAATCCAAGACAGACAAGAAAAAAGGGACAAGGGACGCAGAGCAGCACTCACGGAGGTAGGAACCTCAGCCTGGCAAGCCGCCATGATGAGCCAAAGCTCGGCTCCTGAGAGGCGCGGGTGCTCACGGGAGAGCCTCTCGGTGGCGTCATCGGTGGGCGCGTCCCGACTCCACCTCCCGGGCCTTGCCAGCTCCTCCCCCCTGTGCATCTTCGGGACCCAGCTCAGAGCTTCTGTGCACCAGTCCCCAAAACCCTGTCACTGAAACATCCTGTGGCTGAGACCTTCACCTGAGACTCTGCAGGCCTTCACGTGGGATGGGGTGGGCGAGCTCAGGAGCTCAAATACAGCCCACCTTTTTGATAACTCCTAGGCATCTTTCAATCCCCCTGATCGTGTCAAGTAGAGATGTGCTTCCTCCTTAATGCAGCCAGAGCACAATATTCATACTTGTGTTATGGCCTTAACTCACTGATGTAATAATTAACTGTACCCACGGAGACATGGAACTGAATGTATTTTCACAAACGTTAATTCAAAACATATTTGTGGGAGAAATCACCTGGAGCATAAGCCCCTCTCGAGAACCGTAAGGCCAGCACGGCAGCCCCACCCATGGAGAGAGGAAGTGGGCAGGGCGGAGTCGCCTGGGTTCCCGCAGGCCGGGTCTCTGCCCGCGGCGCATGCGGATGACGTAACCAGCGCGCCACGATTCGAGGAGGTCTGGGGCCACGAAAGTCTCTTCCACGTGAGTAGAGCTACCGTGCGTGAGCTTGGATCCCCCTGCCAGGTGCAGCCCTTCGTCACCCACCCCAAGCCTGATCCAATATCCCCACGAGGCCGAGCTGCATCCAGCGGGGGTCCGCTCGCTTGCTTTAGTGGAGGCATCCATCTTCTGATCTTGCGTGCGTTCCGCATACTCCGGCATGGGTGACCCCCATGTAAACGCAGCTCTTCTGTCTCATTCATGCACGCAACTAACAGAATATCTGTCGGCCGCCTCCTTTGTGTCAGGCACCATGCTAGTCGTTGGGGATATAGCCCTCATGTGGGCAAACCCTGTCCCTGCTCTCTTGGAGCTTACATTTCACAGGGAGTGATAGACAAAAATCAAGTGGCCTAAATAAACAAAATGATTTCAGGAATACTGTCCTGAAACGAGAGGAAGGGCTGAGGAGTGTGGTAGGAAACAAGAGTTCATTCAGTCAACAAGTTTTACTTTTTCGTTTCTTAGCCCAGATATTGTTCTAAGCCTTGGTACTTCAGCGGAAGTGAATCAGTTACAGCCCAAGCCCACATGGAGATTTTGTTCCAGTGGGGAGTATAGAGTGGAAAAAAATATATCAGATAAAAATATCATGATAAGTATCTTTCCTAAGTATATAGGAAATTTAAATGGCCATCAGGGCCTGGTGCGGTGGCTCATGCCTGTAATTCAAGGTAGAGAATTGCTTGAGGCCAGGAGTTCGAGACCAGCCAGGGCAACATAGTAAGACCCCCCCCATCTCTACAAAAAAATGGGGGAAAAAAAATTTAGCCAGGCATAGTGGTGCACACAGGAGGGTTTCTTGATCCCAGGAGCTCTAGGGTACAGTGAGCTATGATCGTGTCACTGCACTCCAGCCTGGACAACAGAGCAAGACTCTGTCTCCCTAAAGATAAATAAAATAGGGCCATCTGATGGTGGCTGGTTAAGAGTGGCTAGTCAAGTAAGGCCTTGCCAAGAGAATTTCACCTGAAATGTAAATAACAAGAAGGAGCTAGCCATGTATATATCAAGGTGAAAAAAATGTCTTCCAGGACTGAGCTTGGCAAGTTAGAGGAATAGAAGAGAAGCTAGTGTGGTTGGTACATTGTGGGTGAGACAGAGAATGGTGTGAGATAGGTTGGAGAAGTAGACTAGAGAGTGGCCAAATCAGTAAGCCAGGGTGCTGAATTGGAATTTATACCATGTATACTGCGAAGTCCTGATCCTTTATGCTGGCATGTGCAAATACATTGTGGTTGTGAAGGGGTGGAATCGGGGACTGGTCAGGAGGCCAATGCATTAGTCCAGGTGAGTGATGGTGGTGGCTTGGAATAGAGTGAGGCAGTAGAAATGAAAAGATGAGAGATTTGAGATATGTCTGGAAATAGATTTGCTGGTGTGTTAGGTTTAGAGAGTAAAGGAAAGATTAAGATTGCCTCTTGTGTTTTTGGTTAGAGCAACTAATTGAATGATGATAGTGTTTGCTGAGATAGGGGAGACTAGGGAAACAGCACATCTGGAGAAATGATAAATCAAAATTCCTATTTTGGACATGACAGGCTATTCTCTGTGTTTATGAGATGTCTGTGTAGAGATGTCACATAAGCATTTGAAAGTACTAGTCTAGAGTTTCAAGGAGAGTCAGCACTGGATAAGGTTATGGAATCCATTGGCAAATATTAACTTGAACCATATGAAATTACCATTTGGGGCCAAAATAGTTGAATACTGGCAATTTCATTGGCTCAATCTCTTGCTTCCTTGGGAAGAGGCAGTGTACATCTGTTAGCCCTGTGTGTGTGATCATGGCTGAAAGAATGGTGCAAGTCAGAAGCCCTCTACTCTGCTGAGGAGGACTGTGTCCCTCAGTTCTGGGGCAGTGAAGGGGGCTTTCCAGAGTTGGTGAGACTGTACTCTTCTTGAAGAATGGGAAGGCTTTGGATATGATGGGGGTAAGCATAGGCATTCTAGGAGAGGAGTAAAGGAACAGAGAGGAGGCCAGGCAGATAAGTAGTTTAGGATAGATGTGGAGGGCCTTTGAGTGTCAAGCTAAAGCTTTTGCATTTGCCTTGATCAGGAACATAATATTTTGAAAGCACTGAAGTGGAGGAACTGTCATGTGATTTCACCAGTCAGGTCTAGTCCAACTCATACTCCAGATTTAAGCTTAGATGCTGTCTTAGTCCATGTGGGCTGCTATAACAAAGTACCATAGACTGGGTGGCTTATAAACAACAGAAATTTACTTCTAGTTGGAGAAGAGGCTGAAAGTTGGAGATCAAGGTGCCAGGATGGTTAGGTTCTGGTGAGGGCTCTCTTCCAGGTAGCAGACTACAGACTTCTAGTTGTATCCTCACATGGCAGACAGAGAGCTAGTTCTCTGGCCTCTTCTTATAAGGACACTAATCCCATTTGTGAGGGCTCCACCCTCATGACCTAATTACCTCCCAAAGGCCCCACCTCCAAATAACATCACATTGAGGATTAGCGTTTCAACATATAAACTGAGGGGAGGGGGAACACAGTACATGGCAGACGCCATTTCTCCCAGGAGTCTTTCCCAACTCCTGAAGTGTTGGGCTAGTACGCACAGTCCCTTGACCTTAACCACACTGGACTGGAAATGTCTGGTACTTGCCTGTCTCCCTCAATAAAATATAAACTCCGTGAGGGCAGAAAAGTTTTCTCTCTTGTTCACAGCAGTGTTCCTAAGACCTTGCCTGGAGCCCAGCAAAGTGCAGATGCTTCAGGAACATGTGTCAAGGATGTGTCTGTACACTTGCCTCCCCACATTACTAAAGGCCACATTTTGCAGGATTAGTTAAAATCACCAAGGTTACATTTTTCAGGTTACCTTGTTTTTCGAAATTCCCCTGTTACTTTCCCCTTTTCCATCTCTGGTGCCTGAACTATCCTCGAAACTTGAAATCCGTTCAACAGGCCATAGTTAATGTTATTTTTTAGGAACCTAACTCATCTATTCAGCAAAGGACAGCTGTAGAGATGTCCCGTATCCTTCACTTCTATGTCCGTCCCTCTGGCCATGAGGGGGCAGCCTCTGGACACACTCGAAGGAAACTACAAGGGAAACTGCCAGAGCTGCAGGGTGTTGAGACTGAGCTGTGCTACAATGTGAACTGGACAGGTTGGGCCCAGGTATTGGATTTTTAGGGGAGGTGTCTGGTGCCAGGGGCAGCTTCTCAAGTTGTGCTTGCCCCGTCTCCCTGCAGCTGAGGTCCTCCCAAGTGCTGACGAAATGAAGAAACTGATGTGGCTATTTGGCTGCCCTTTGATGCCGGGTGATGTTGCTCAGGAGTCCTGGCTCCTTCTCGGCGCTAGTGACCTGCTGCTGGAGGTCGGACCCCGGTAAGGGTCTCATTCCAGAGCAACTTGTTCCAAATTCCAAGGCGCGTGATCCTTTCAAACACACTGTCCACCCCTTCTGCTTCCATTCCTTTACTTTCTCTTGTGATCCTTGGGAGATTTGATTTTCCTTTGCTGTCCCCTGCATAGGAAGCCATGCACATGCTTTCCCCATTTGGGAAGATGCCTCTGAAGCCCAAGCCAGCTCCCAGGCACGTTCTAGAAGTAAAATAAGTTGCATCCTGAGAAGTTAAAATCAAAGCAGTTTTCATGCTAGAAGGGCAGTTATGGTTTGGTTTAGTTTGGAAGCAGGTTTCTTGGTGCCCAGTCTGAGGCTAGAGGCCAACGATGAGGCAATAGCAGTGGGAGGTTGGCTGCACAGCCATGGGCAGGATCTACCTTCCCAGCCAAGGCCTGCTGGGGACTCTCAGGTACTAACCATCTGGCCCACTGCTCAGGCTGAACTTCTCCACCCCATCATCCACCAACATTGTGTCTGTATGCCGTGTTGCTGGGCTGGAGGCCGTGGATCGTGTGGAGACTACCCGGCGCTACCGGCTCTCGGTGAGGCGGTGGGCAATCGGGATGGGAAATCAGGAGAAGGAGATGGGCCAGAGATAAGAGATTAGATCCTAAACTCTGGAGGGAAGCAGGAGGAGGAGCTCATGGCTTTAGGCCCGCCTTGTATGGTTGTGCAGGTTGTTCACTGCCTGAGGGTACCTGTTTTTGAGGAGTGAATGGGGCAGAAATCCTGCCTGTGCTCCTTTTACTAATCTGTGCATCCTGGCGTGGACTCATGTCTGGAAAGGACATGTTTTTGTAATCTGAACAAACATACCATATGGGGTGGCAGTGGACGGACCCTGTATGACTTGGAGGGTCAAAGGTGGGCCATTTATCTCCACTCTTCAACTCTTCACCCCTTGCCCTCTGTGTGTGTCTCTACCCCTAGTTTGCCCATCCCCCTTCGGCCGAGGTGGAGGCCATCGCTCTGACTACCCTACATGACCAGATGACGGAGCAGCACTTCCCCCATCCCATCCAGAGTTTCTCCCCCGACAGCATCCCGGCACCCCTCAATGGTCCCATCAACATACTGGCCGAGGGCCGGCTTGCGCTGGAGAAAGCCAACCAGGAGCTAGGTGGGCAGGGGTCTCTGGGAGGAGGAAGTGAAGGGCTCAGGATAGGCCTGCAGGGATGCTGAGACCTGGAATATGGCTGCCTGAGTTCCACAGTCAGCTTTTCCAGGGTTTGTCTCCTAGGTCTGGCCCTAGACTCCTGGGACCTGGATTTCTACACCAAGCGCTTCCAGGAGCTGCAGCGGAACCCCAGCACTGTGGAGGTCTTCGACTTGGCTCAGTCCAACAGGTGGGGAGGAGAGGGGTCATTCTGATATGTCTGAGCCCTTAGAGGTTGGAAGGGAATACCGCAGGGGCTCACCTGCATGGCTCTCCCTTGGCTTAGGGGCCTCCCTGAGTCTGAGGGCCTGAGCTCCCCTGTCTATCCAGGAGTCTACATTCAAATTGTGGTGTTATTTTCACTTTGGCTCTGGATAATCTACAATGACAGGATACTTGAAGGCTGTGACATTTTGGAATATGTTCTGACCTAGTGTCTAAGTATGAATTGGCTGTAACTCTGCTATTAAATGCTGGTGAGAAGACATGGCATAAGAAATGACCCCGTTTCTGCCCTGCTTTCTCCTCCCCATGTCACCCCTTGCAGCGAGCACAGCCGACACTGGTTCTTCAAGGGCCAACTCCACGTGGATGGGCAGAAGCTGGTACACTCGCTGTTTGAGTCCATCATAAGTACCCAGGCATCCTCAAACCCCAACAACATCCTCAAGTTCTGTGATAACAGCAGGTAGGCTGTGCCCTAGGCTGGGGTGGTATCTGGCCTGAGGGAGGGGAGGCCCCAGGCCCTGTTCGGGTTGGTGCACATCCCAGCACGGATGTGTCCACAGTGCGATCCAGGGGAAAGAAGTCCGATTCCTCCGGCCCGAGGACCCCACACAGCCAAGCCGCTTCCAGCAACAGCAGGGGCTGAGACATGTTGTCTTCACAGCAGAGACCCACAACTTCCCCACAGGTGAGCTGGGTCCCCGGGAGGGATAAGTGAGATCAGAGAGTAGGGGAGGGCAAAGGATTCAGGCCCCTGGGCTGAGCTTGGGAAAAACAATCATGGAAGCTGGTTGTCCTTATTTCCAGAGAGTCAGGTCAGACATGGGATTTGTCTCTGAGGCACTCAGACCTCTCCCCTCCTCTCTTTGCAGGAGTAGCCCCCTTCAGTGGTGCGACCACGGGCACAGGGGGCCGGATCCGAGATGTCCAGTGCACAGGCCGCGGGGCACACGTGGTGGCTGGCACTGCCGGCTATTGCTTTGGAAACCTGCATATCCCAGGTCCATCTTCTTCCTCTTTATCCACCTGCTTTCCCTTCCAGATTCCTTGTCCTGGCAGGCAGCAAACACTTTTATCTGTTAGGTCAAATGGTCATCCTGGGTGCCTTTTCTTGGGAGAGAGGGCCCTAGGGTAGCTGGGTTTTCACTGGCCATGGTCATAAGGAGTACAGCCCAGGGGAGACAGGGGTAGCCAGACTGGCTTTGTAGATCCATGATTTTCTTTTGAAACTAGCATCCACTCAGCATGATATTGGGGTGGTCTTAAGATAACCACCATCCCCCCAAATCTAGTTTCCTGAAAAACCTTAAGAATTCTCATCCTGAGAGTCAGAGAGGAGGCTGGTATGGAAGATGGACAGCAAAACCAGTGCTTTCCTGCAGGCTCTATACCTTCTTAAAATGGAACATTCCAACCCTGCAGGTGGTCCTTGATGGCTTTGACTCTTCCCGAAGGATGCTGGCTCCTGCGTCTTCTGTCTTTACTGTCCATTCAACTTCCTTCCTTCCTTCCAGGTTACCATCTGCCCTGGGAGGATCTGAGCTTCCAGTATCCTGAGAACTTTGCCCGGCCCCTGGAGGTTGCCATTGAAGCCAGTAATGGGGCTTCTGACTATGGCAACAAGTTTGGGGAACCAGTGCTGGCCGGTGAGGCTGGGGGTGTGGAGGGATGATGGACACCTAGTCCCAGAAGGGCTTCTGGGTGGGGTTTACGACCCAGGGGCTGTAGTATTGGGCACTGAGTACTGGAGGGGATGAAACTGGGTGACTGGTCCCTGTTCCCCTCCCTCTGATGTCCGTGCTGCAGGCTTTGCCCGCTCCTTGGGCCTCCAGCTCCCAAATGGCCAGCGGCGTGAGTGGATCAAGCCCATCATGTTCAGTGGAGGCATCGGGTCCATGGAAGCTGAGCACGTGAGCAAGGAGCCCCCAGAGCCAGGTGAGAGCCCTTTTCTACATCCAGCCAGCTTTCTCCCCAGCACAGGGCAGCTGCAGGGAGGGGTTTAGAGGACACTTCAGTGGTTAGTTTTTAATGTCTCGACTCATGTCTCTTCTCCTGTCTCTTCTCCCCAATATGTGTTTTCAAGACGGGACTTTATGCCAGTGGGCAGTTGCAGTCTTCATTGCCTTTGCCCCTTCCATGGTTTACTTGTGTGTGGCAGGGGCCATCCTCTGCCCTACCCATGTGGTTCTGGGTCACTCCCTGCTAAGTCAAGGTAGCCAGTGTTTATTCAGTACCTGCTGTGTGCCTGGGGCTTTCCTCTGCTAGCTCAGTTCAATCAGGAAACTTACTGCACTCTCCTTATGTGCTGGGCACTGCTGGGTGCTGTGGTAGAATCAAGATAAAGAACAGGTGCTGTTTATTGAATAGGTGATCCCGTCACATGATTCAAAATTCAAAAGACCAAAAAAGTTACACAGTTAAAACTCCTTCCTCTGGCCCCAGGCCACCCAGTTTCTCTCCCTAGAGACAACCAATGTTAATAAGCTACTTTTGTTACTTTTGTATCCTATCAAAGGTATTTCCTGGATATGTAAATAAGTCCATATGTGTATCTGCTTCTTTTATAAACAAATGGCATAATGTGCACACTTTTTTTTAACAGCCACTTTATTAAAATGTGATTCATGTACCATAAGGTTCACTCTTTCAAAGTGTACAAGTCAGTGGTTTTTAGTATATTCACAAAGTTGTACATCAGTCACTGCTTTCTTTTTTTTTTTTTTTGAGACAGAGTCTCACTCTGTTGCCTGGGCTAAAGTGCCGTGGCATCATCATAGCTCACAGCAACTTCAAACTACTGGGCTCAGGCAATCCTTCTGCCTCAGCCTCCCGAGTAGCTGGGACTACAGGCACATGCCACCATGCCCGGCTAATTTTTTCTATATATTTTTAGTTGTCCAGCCAATTTCTTTTTTAGTAGAGACGGGGTCTCACTCTTGCTCAGGCTGGTCTCGAGCTCCTGAGCTCAAACAATCCGCCCACCTCGGCCTCCCAAAGAGCTAGGATTAGAGGCGTGAGCCACCACGCCCGGCCTTCCTTTTTTTTTTTTTTAGTTTCAAAATATTATGGGGGTATAGATGTTTTTGGTTACATGTATCAATTTTGTTACGCTTGAGTCAGGGTTAGTGCAGCAGTCACTACTAACTCCAGAACATTCTCATCATCCCTATCCCATCCCCCAGCCTCTGGCAACCACTAATTAACTTTTGTTTCTGTAGATTTGCCTATTCTGGACATTGCATATGCAGTCATGCATCACTTAATGATGGGGATATGTTCTGAAAAATGCGTCATTTGGTGATTTCATCAATGTGCAAATATCATATAGTGTACTTACACAGACCTGGATGGTATAGCCTGCTGCACAATCACTAGACATGGGCTCTCACTTGCAACATAATCCATAGATTTTGTATGCTTAGGGGTCATGAAGAACAAAACACCACAAGAGAAAATGATACAATCAAGAGATGTGGTAAACACCAGGTGTGTGAGGCTGCTGCCAATGTAACACGACATACTGTTTCACAGTAAAAGTTTTTTTTCACATAAGCAGGAGCGCACTCTAAAATAATGATAAAAAATACAATATAGTAAATATACAAACCAGTAACATAGTCGTTTATTATCAAGTATTACGTAGTGTACATATAGTAATTGTACATGCTGTACCTTTATATGACTGACAGCACAGTGGGTTTTTTATACCAGTGTCATCACAAACACGTGATGACTGTGTAGGCATTTTTCAGCTCCATTATAATCTTATAGGATCACTGTCATATATGATCTATCATTGACTAAAACGTCATCATGCAGTACATGATTATAAATGGAATCGTACAGTATGTGGCCTTCTTGTGTCTGCCTTCTTGCACTTAGCATAATACTTTCAAGGTTCGTTCTTACTGTAGCATGTATCAGTACTTCATTACTTCTTATGGCTGAATAATATCCCATTATATAGGTTGGTCCAAGTGCAGTGGTGTTCACAACTAATTGATCACAACCAGTTACAGATTCCTTTGTTCCTTCTCCACTCCCACTGCTTCACTTGACCAGGAAAAAAAAAATCGCATTATATAGATATGTCAAGTTTTGTTTATCCATTCATCAGTTGGGTTGTTTCTGCTGTGTAGCTATTTATGAACAACGCTGCTATGGACATTTGTGTATAGGTTCTTGTGTAAAATACGTGTTCTCTTAGGAATGTAACTAGGAATGGAATTGCTGGGTCATGTGGTGACTCTGTTTAACTTTTCAAGGTATTGCCAGACTCAACACTTGTTATTATCTGGCCTTTTCAGTGTAGTCATCATTGTGGTTTTCACTTGCATTTCTCCAATAGCTAATGGTGTTGAGCATCTTTTCATATGCTTGTTGGCCATTTCTGTGTCTTCCTAGGAGAAACGTCTATTCAGATCCTTTTCCCATCTTTTAATTGGATGATTTGTCTTTTGTTGTTTGGTTATAAGAGTTCTTTATATATTCTGGATACTAGCCCTTATCAGATAAATGATTTACAAATATTTTTTTCCTATTCTGTGGGGTTTTTCACTTTCTTCATAGTGTTTTCTGAAGCATAGACATTTTTAATTTTGGGAAAGTCCAATTTATGTATTTTTTCTTTGGTTGCTTATTGTTTTGGTGTTACAACTAAGAAAGCATTGCCTAAGCCAAGGTTCAAAGATATATGTTTTCTTCTAATACTTTTATTGTTTTAGTTCTTACATTGAGGTCTCTAATACATTCTGAATTAATTTTTGTGTATAGTGTGAAGTAGGGCTCCAACTTCATTCTTTCATATGTGGATATCCAGTTGTCCTAACACCACTTTTTGAAAAGACTGTTCTTTCCCCATTGAATTACCTTGGTACTCTTGTTAAAAATTAGTTGGCTATAAACATGTGGGCTCATTCCTGGACTCACAGTTCTATTCCACTGATCTATATGTCTATCCTTATGCTAGTACCATATGGTTGTGGTTGCTGTAGTTCTATAGTAAGTTTTAAAAGCAGAAAGTATAAGTCCTCCAATTGTGTTCTTTTACAAAATCGTTTTCTCTGTTCTAGGTCCCTCACATTTCCATGTGAATTTTAGGGATTATCAAGTTCTGTCAGTTTCTACAAAAAAGGCAGCTAAGATTTTGATAGGGATTATGCTGAATCTGCAGATCAATTTGGGAAGTATTGCTATCTTAATAATATTAAGTCTTTCAGTCTATGAATATGGGAGCTATTTCCATTTGTTTAGGTCTTCTAAAATGTTTTGTAGCTTTTAGTGTACACGTCTGCATTTCTATTAAATTTATTCCTAAGTATTTTATGTTTTTTGATGGTATTGTAAATGGGTGTACATATTTTTGCACCTTGCTTTTTTATACTTAGCAATATATCATAGAGATCATTTCCTATGAAATCATTACTTCATTACATTCATATGTTATTCTCTTTTTCGGTAGGTTAGTGTTCCATTGCGTCGACATGCCATAATTTATTTAATCAGTTCTCTGTTGTCAACTCATTTCCTGTCTTTGCTAATACAAACAATGCTGCGATTTCTCGTCTGTGCTAATAGAGTGCTTAATTTTGTACATAGGTGATTTTATAGCTGTGTAAATGAATCTGTAGATAAGTTCCTCAAAGTGTATTAACCTGATCAAAGAATGTGTGTGTTTGTAATTTTGATTGATATTGCCAAACTGTCCTCCACAGAGGTTATACCGGTTTACTATCCCCTCAACCTGGTGGAGTATTAAGGCTCCTGCTCCCCTAATCTCAGCTGCCCTTATCCTCACAGTGCCTTGCTTTAGAGGTTGCTTTGGGTGGCTTCCCCAGTGTTCTGATTCTGCTCTCTTTCCTCGCAGGCATGGAGGTTGTAAAGGTTGGGGGTCCTGTCTACAGAATTGGAGTTGGGGGTGGAGCTGCTTCATCTGTGCAAGTGAGTGGGAATAGCTAAAGACTCTAACATTGCTGGGCCCTGTGCGTAGGTGGGGTATGGGAGCCCAGAGCTGAGCTGTGTCATTTGTTTCCCCAGGTGCAGGGAGACAATGCCAGTGACCTGGACTTTGGAGCTGTGCAGCGGGGAGACCCGGAGATGGAACAGAAGATGAACCGTGTGATCCGGGCTTGTGTGGAGGCCCCCAAGGGAAACCCCATCTGCAGCCTCCATGACCAGGGTGCTGGTGGCAATGGTGAGGGAAGGAGTTCGGACAAGGGACTGGGCTTACCTGGTCTCCTGCCACACTTGGTTTAGGGAGAGGCATTGTGGATCTGAAACCAACTACCCTCAGCTCTAGGTCCCATTCTCCACCCCCTCTGTATTCTGGACAGGTTCAGGGTTGGAGCAGGTAGATACTTGCTGCCTGGGGATGGCTGGCAGTAAGAATGCAGCAGCAACTCACACAGGAACACTCAGAATTAGGGGTTCCTTTGGAGGCCGGGGACTGCCTTTTGTTTACCTGGAGCTGACCATGCCAAGTCACCACCTCTCCCTGCAATCCTCTCACCAGGCAACGTCCTGAAGGAGCTGAGTGACCCAGCTGGAGCCATCATTTACACCAGCCGCTTCCAGGTGGATCTCATCCCCGATGTCTGGGTCTTTCCCCACCCCTGCCGGCCCCAACAGGCCTCCACCCATCTCTTCCCTATTCTTAGCAACAGCATGAGACTTGGGAGTGCCCACTGACCTTTCTCTGTCCTCCCCACCATGGCCGTGCAGCTGGGGGACCCAACCCTGAATGCCCTGGAAATCTGGGGAGCCGAGTACCAGGAATCAAATGCACTTCTGCTGCGGCCCCACAACCGGGACTTCTTGAGTCATGTCAGTGCCCGGGAACGCTGCCCAGCTTGCTTTGTGGGCACCATCACCGGAGACAGGAGAGTGAGTTGCCCCAGGGAATTGGGGGTGGACACTGTGGGCAGACTGAAGTCCCCTGGGTACGAGCTAGAAGGAGAATCGTCAAGGGAGAGAGACGAGAGGAAGATAGGAGACGGTGGCAAACAAGGTGTGGAAAATAGGATGTAGGAGGCAGGAGGGGTAGGGACACAACAGGGGAAGCCAGACAGGGTGGAGAGAGCATTTCTGTCCCGATTTCTAGGAGCATTCCCTGCTAGTGTTCCTAGTATCATTCCCTATGGTGGTGTCCCTGTGGTCTACAGATAGTGCTAGTGGATGATCGAGAGTGTCCTGTGGGGAGAAATGGCCAGGAGGATGCCCCCCCGACACCCCCTCCCACCCCTGTGGACCTGGAGCTCGACTGGGTGCTGGGCAAGATGCCCCGGAAGGTGTGTGTGGTGGGCATGGGAGGCTGGGTTTCTCCTTCTGTGGCCTCCTCTCCAGACCACCCTTTACCCTCCATGGTCACCTGTGTGCCCAGCCCTCCCCAGGTGCTCATACTCCCTGTTGCTGTCTGTGTTGCAGGACTTCTTTCTCCAGAGGGATGCCCCTGTGCTGCAGCCCCTGGCCTTGCCCCCAGGGCTGAGCGTGCGCCAGGCTCTGGAGTGGGTTCTGAAGCTGCCCGCTGTGGCCAGCAAACGCTACCTCACCAATAAGGTCCTCCCTGCAGCCCCACTCTGTCCCCGCGCCCTCCCTCCACTCACCTATCCCTGGCCTTCTGCCCTCAGGGACCACTGTGGGGGTTCCACAGGCCCTGGGAGGAAGTGGCAGGGGCCAGGCAGCCACCCTGATGGCCTGGTCTCCCTGCTGTCCACCCTCTTGTCTGCATGTTGGGGGAAAGCCAGGTCTCCCACCATATTGTGTCCCTTGGGAGCAAGTGTTGGAGCATACTGTCTCCCTATCCCTTGCTGTCTTGTCAACCCCACCTGGTTCCACAGGTGGACCGCTCCGTAGGTGGCCTGGTGGCCCAACAGCAGTGTGTCGGACCCCTGCACACTCCTCTGGCAGATGTAGCGGTTGTGGCACTGAGTCACCAGGAGCTTGTAGGGGCCGCCACGGCCCTGGGAGAACAGCCAGTCAAGAGCCTGCTGGACCCCAAGGTCGCCGCCCGGCTGGCCGTGGCCGAAGCTCTCACCAACCTGGTGTTTGCTCTGGTCACTGACCTCCGGGTGAGTTCTCCCACAGCTTCTGCCTTGGAGCCCCAGGCCTTTGGGACACTTCCACATCCACCACTTACTCACGTTCTTGGCCTTCATTTCATGTTCATAACCTTCCAGCCCCTCTGCACCCCCGGACTCTCCACATCTCTCTTCCCCTCTAATGCCATGCCTCTGCCGCTCCCAGGACGTGAAGTGCAGCGGGAACTGGATGTGGGCAGCCAAGCTGCCAGGGGAGGGCGCAGCTCTGGCCGATGCCTGTGAGGCTATGGTGGCAGTGATGGCAGCCCTGGGTGTGGCAGTGGACGGTGGCAAGGACTCCCTTAGCATGGCTGCCCGGGTTGGCACTGAGACCGTGCGGGCTCCCGGTGAGGTCTGGGGGCCCTGGGGAGAGGAGGAGGAGCTGCAGGGCTGGGCTAGCAGCTCACTCTTTCTGAATCCTCCTTGGTCTGCAGGGTCACTGGTCATCTCAGCCTATGCTGTCTGCCCAGACATCACAGCCACTGTGACGCCAGACCTCAAACATCCTGGAGGGAGAGGTATAGATTCATCCCCGTCCCCACTGCCTTGTGTGTTCTGAGTGTGGTCCTTGCTTTGGGTCTGCTTTGCGAGTACTGGGCCCCGTCATGTCAACACCGGCCTGTGGTGCTTTCTGGGACTGGTGGTCTGGGGCATCTCACCACATGCTGGGAACAGCAGTGCTGTGGGCACTTCGGGGAGGGGTCCTCCTGAGCTGTCCATCTCCCCTCACTGCTCCCCATCTCCCCAGGCCATCTGCTGTACGTGCCTCTCAGCCCTGGGCAGCACCGGCTGGGGGGCACAGCCCTGGCCCAGTGCTTCTCCCAGCTTGGGGAGCAGCCTCCCAACCTGGACCTGCCGGAGAACTTGGTGCGTGCCTTCAGCATCACCCAGGGGCTGCTGAAAGGTGAGTGAGGCCCCAGGGGAGATGGTGCACATGGAGCCAGGCACGTGGCAGGCGTTCACCAGCTAAGCATGTGAGCATGGGGCAGGAGGGTCTCCGAGGCCCTTCTCTCTAGTTTTCTCACACGTGCAACCAACTCTCCAAAAGGCAGGTGGAGCCATCAGGTTTGGGCCCTGAGGTTGCTGAGTGTTCTTTTCCTTCCTTCAGACCACCTCCTCTGCTCAGGCCACGACATCAGCGATGGAGGACTCGTCACCTGCCTGCTAGAGATGGCTTTTGCTGGAAATTGTGGGATAGTGGTGGATGTGCCTGCCCCTGGGGTTGATGGTGAGGACCCCGGAGTCTAGGCTCAGGCTTGGGCTACCTACCCTGCAGACCCCATCACTTGTTAAAGAATGGAGTGCCCCCAAGCCCTCTTCCCTGAGTCTTCCCCAACTGTCTCTTCTGTGCTGTCTTCACTGACAGCTGAACTGGATGGGACCAATGGCACACCCACTGTGTTCCTGACTGCACCCCTAAGACCTCCCATCCCTAGATGTCCCTGATGCAGCATCCTCGATCCCACCCTTATCCCTGCCTCCTCCACTCCCTGGGCCTCAGCCCCCTGACTCCCCTCCTACTGCTCTCCAGCGCTGCCCGTGCTGTTCGCCGAGGAGCCCGGCCTTGTGCTGGAGGTGGAGGAGCCAGACCTGGCCCAAGTGCTGCAGCGTTACCGGGGTGCTGGCCTCCAGTGTCTGGAGCTGGGCCACACAGGCGGTGCCGGGCCCCACGCCATGGTGAGGAAGCCAGGAAGAGAGTGGCACACGTGGGCAGTTGGAGTGGGGGGGCCTAGGTCCACCTCTGCCAGCTGTGGAGGGGCCATCCTTTCTCCTAGCCCCCGCTGGATTTGTCCCTCTCCCTAGATCCGGGTGGCAGTGAACGGGGATGTGGTTCTGGAGGAGCCTGTTGGGCAGCTGCGAGCCCTCTGGGAGGAGACGAGTTTCCAGCTGGACCGGTTGCAGGCAGAGCCTCGCTGTGTGACAGAGGAGGAATGGGGCCTGCGGGAGCGGATGGGGCCCCACTACTGCCTGCCCCCAACTTTTCCGAAAGCCTCTGTGCCTCGGGAGCCTGGTGAGAGAGCGTGTGCAGAGGCTTGGCCTAACGGGCACATTGGGCCTGGACGGTGGAGCCAACAGCCTGGATGCCTGGGCCTGCCCTGGAAAAGGTGTCTGGGGAGCTGGGTGGGCAAGTAACCCTCTGGGCTAGAGACACTCCTTCTCTCCCCAGGCGGCCCCACCCCCCGAGTCGCCATCTTGCGAGAGGAAGGCAGTAATGGAGACCGGGAGATGGCTGATGCCTTCCACTTGGCTGGGTTTGAGGTGAGCAGGGTAGAGTGGCAGAGCTGGGGGCAGTGATCCAGCCTCAGCTGCATGTTCTCTGACACTTCCCTTCCCCATCCTGCCAGGTGTGGGATGTGACCATGCAGGACCTCTGCTCTGGGGCAATCGGGCTGGACACATTCCGTGGCGTGGCCTTTGTGGGTGGCTTCAGCTACGCAGACGTCCTAGGCTCTGCCAAAGGTCTGTGTGCAGACTTCTCCCCACTCCTTCCCGCATGCATTCCTGAGAGGCACCTTTAGCAACCCCTTTCCTGGGCTGGGGATTGGCCTCTCACCTCCGCAAAGACAGGGTAGACTTTCATTCTGGGCCAGAGGCCAGCAGAAGGCCTGTAGGTACCTCAAATGAGGCAGGGGGGCTGGGTGGGGCCGTGCCAAACACGGAGGGCACATGTCCTAACTAAAGGGACAGCTGCTACTCAGCTCTAGCAGATTATCTTTTGGAAAGATGGGTCAACATGGCCAGATCTTTCTGTTTTTCAAGAGAAGCCAAAAATCCAGATTTTTATTATGAAATCTTATCTTTAAACATTAGGCAACTAAATAAAAATATTTGAAAATGTTTTGCTGGCTAATCATGGGCCACCTCTGGCCCAGGAGTTGGCAACATCTGATTTAAGCAGAGAAACTCATTTTTTCCCTCACGCTTGCCCTGAGCTCTGCAGAAGGGGGGTCCTTGGAGAGAGTAGCAGTGGTTGCTGGGATGGAAGAGCAGCCTTGCTGCTTCGTTCCCTCCTTCCCCTTTTCTGAGGTCTTCCATATCTCACCCTGACTTCCCGGTTCCCTTGTAGGGTGGGCAGCTGCTGTGACCTTTCATCCACAGGCCAGAGCTGAGCTGAAGCGCTTCCAGACACGGCCAGACACCTTCAGCCTGGGCGTGTGTAACGGCTGTCAACTGCTGGCTCTGCTGGGCTGGGTGGGAAGTGACCCCAGTGAGGATGCCAGAGACACAGGCCCTGATTCCTGGCCAGCCCGGCCTGGCCTGCTGCTACGTCCCAACCTGTCTGGGCGTTTTGAGTCTCGCTGGGCCAGCGTGCGTGTGGGGCCTGGACCGGCCCTGATGCTGCGAGGCATGGAGGGCGCCGTGCTGCCCGTGTGGAGCGTGCACGGGGAAGGTCAGGCCCGGACAGGGCAATGGGAAGAGAGTGGGGGATGGGTGGAGAGCTTGGAGTTTGGCTTTCATTTCCTTTCTCCTTTCCTTCCAGGTTACATGGCTTTTTCTTCTCCGGAACTCCAAGCCCAGATCGAGGCCAGGGGCCTGGCTCCGCTGCACTGGGCAGATGATGATGGGAACCCCACAGAGCAGTACCCCCTGAATCCCAACGGGTCCCCAGGGGGCGTGGCTGGTGTCTGCTCCCAGGATGGCCGCCACTTGGCTCTCATGCCTCATCCTGAGCGGGCCGTGAGGCCTTGGCAGTGGGCATGGCGCCCCCCTCCATTTGACACTCTGACCACCTCCCCCTGGCTCCAGCTCTTCATCAACGCCCGAAACTGGACCTTGGAAGCAGGCTGCTGAGGCTCACTTGGGCCTCCTGGTTTGTCCCTAAGTGTGTGCTCCCCTCTGCCCCCATCACCTTTAGGAGCACCCCAGATTATTGCCAAAAGTATCTTGGACAGACAAGGACCAAAATGCCAGGAAAACCTTAGCTGATGACTAGATAATCTCCCTGCTAATTTTGTCTTCTGCTGCTGGATCTGTTTTCAATTCCTCTGCTCTAATGTGTGCCCTTCCTCAGGCCCAGGAAAGAGCTTGTGGTTCAGAAAAATGCTTTGAGGGAAAGTTAGGATGCATGCGGTGGGGGAGGGGTTCCATCGCCCCACTGTTCTCCTCCCAGTGATCACCTTTGTGCCTCATTTCCATTTCCCTCCTCTGGGCTCTCGAGATGTTTTTTTTTTTTTTTTTTTTTTTTTTTTTTAAGCCAAGGTCGTCTCACTCTACTGCCCTGAGTATAGTGCCGTGGCGTCAGCCTAGCTCACAGCAACCTCAAACTTCTGGGCTCAAGGGATCCTCCTGCCTCAGCCTCCCAGGTAGCTGGGACTACAGGCATGCACCACCATGCCCATATATACTTTTAGTTGTCCAGCTAATTTCTTTCTATTTTTAGTAGAGATGGGGGTCTCACTCTTGCTCAGGCTAGTCTCGAACTCTTGAGCTCAAACAATCCACCTGCCTCAGCCTCCCAGAGTGCTAGGATTACAGGCGTGAGCCACCGTGCCCAGCCTTCTCAGCGATGTTTTATGCTCCCTTTCTCATCACGAGGTTTAGGGGATGGGGACAGGTGCAAGAGCATACAAGTCAGCCCCTCACAGCCTCACTGTTCACATCTGAGAAACAGCAGAAGCTTTCTGGATTTCTCTTAAAGTGTTGCACTGTGCTAAATGTAAAAAACTGTTGCAGAAGTTTCTCTGACAGAGTCTCTGGCTGTGTCCCAGGGCTGGCCTCATGCTAGCCTTTGAACTCAATATTCCTGATACTTGCTTCTAATTTGGCAGCTCCCTTTCGGTAGAAGTGGTTGGCACCCTCGTCCCTGGATCTGAGCCCTTAATATATTGGAAACTACCTCTTTCATTCATTCCATTAATGTTTATTGATTAGCTATTGTGCCAAGTACTGTCATTGGTCCCAGGGAGTCTGGTTTAATGGAATTTAAAATAATGGCTGTGTGTAGCACTTGCCTAGAGCCAAGCAGGTACTAGGCATTTTATATCTGAATTAATTCTCATAAAAATTCAGCAGGTACTGGATAGCTCCGCCCCTTTTTAGTATAACGAAGAATTAAGGTAACTAGATTGCCTAGGGCACAGCTTGTAAGGGACAGCCGTGCTCACCCATGCTACATCTGCTTCCCATCCTGCAGTCACCCTTCCCAGAAGCAGCATATCAAGATTTTCTGCTGACGGTGTCTCCCATCATCCATTGCTTCCTCTGTTAACACAACTGTGTATAGAGCTCACTTCCTCATGACTGTTCTGTTGTACAAATTAAGTCAGTTGGCCCCCTAAAAGTTCAACATCTTAATTAAAGAAGTTTCCCTGAGAATGGAGACTGGAATCTCAGATCCTGGAGGGCATCAGAGCCTGAAGAAGGGGCAGGGAGGCTGAGCAGTAGCCACCCTAAGAAGAAATTAGTGCAGTAATAATGAAACAATGGCAAATTATGGGTATGGAGAAAACTATTTTAGATCTTTTTTTCATTGCTTTGCAAAGTGGCCTCCTTTGGGCAGTGTGGAGCTAGTAGTAATGATCATTTTTTACATTCGAACATTCCTTCCTGACCCTGGGAAAGGATATATGTATATTTTTTAAACTTACGATCTCAAACATAACGATTTTGGGGCTGATACGAAGGCTTAGATGTCAAGTTTACTGAGTACTTGATGCAAAAGTAGAAGGATGACATGAGGTAAACTGCTTGGCCCTGACAGGTATTAATACATTCATGGGTTTGGAAGGTGGAACACTTTCTGGTTTGGATCACCCTGGCCAAGCAAAACCCACCCTTCTCAGTCACTGTCAAGACCAAGGCCTCTGCTTCTCATCCCTGTTTTCATTTAGTGGCCATACAACCCCATCCTTGCTGGCCCCTGATCCAGCTCCTGTCTCCCCCCGACCCCCACCCCCAAGTACCCTCTAGCAAACCCTACGGGCTAGCTCTGCCCCTCCTTCCCTTCATGGAAAACTAGCTGAGAGCCATTTCTGCAGCCCTCCAGGTGGGGGCTTTTATTCTCAAACCCCATGTCTCCCTCAGGCTGGGGAGTTGGAGTTGGGGTCCTCCCTGTACCACTTCAGACTAGTCTCCACCCAATTTGAAGAAAATCGCCCACTTTAGGCTCAGGCCAACCTACTATATCCCCTTTACCCCCTTTGTGCAGTACTGGCTTCCCCAACACTCCAGGTGGAAGGTGTGAGAGGCTGCCAATCCAATTGGTCTCCAATATCCAGTTCTTCCTTCTAGAAATAGAACCCTCCTGTGTTTTAGCTGTGGTTGCAGCTGCTGAAAATAAACATCTCCCAGCTTCCTTTCCGGCTATGATTAAATTCTGGCCAATGGGAGAGGAAATAATATGTGTAATTTCCAAGTGTTCTTGAAGGGTACATGCTCCTTTTCCTCCCTTCTTGCTTTGTGCTGTCTGGAATGTAGACATGACAGCTGGAAGTTCAGCAGCCATGTTGGACCATGAGGTAGCTTTGTGAATTGGTGCTATGCAGCTACAAGATAAAAGGAGACTGGTTCTCTTGACACAGGAGAGCCTTATGAGCCCTGGAAACGCTATCACTGGGTGTCCTGAATGTAGGAGGCAAACTTCTTTCTTGCCTAAATCCAATTTTGGTGTTTTCCGTTACTTGTAGCTAAACCTTATGGTATTCAACTATTCCTAGCTCCACTTGCAATCTTGTATTGAACTATGTTTCTTGATCAAAGATCTGTCTTCCCGGTAGATATAAGCTCCATGAGACCAGGAGCCCAGTTTTGCTCTCCACTATGTCCTAACACCTAGCAAAGTGTCTAGCACCTACTAGGTGCTCAATAAATATATGTTGAACAAATAAATGTGAATTTAAAGTTAGTAAAGATTGATATACATTTTTCCCCTTAATAGAAGAGTGAAATAGTGGATTGGGTTCACGGGTGGTTTGGCTTACACATCCTCTCAAGCATTTCCCCTTTTACCTAATTTTTCCAGTCATTCAAAGTCACAAGTTCTTTTTGTTATAGACAATTGGTCTTGCTATGTTGCCCAGGCTGGTCTTGAACTCCTGGCTCCAAGCTATCCTGCCTCAGCCCCCCAAAGTGTTGGGATTACAGGTGTGAACCGCTATACCCAGCTTAGACAAGTTTTTGTTATCAAGCCAAATGAAGGACATTGGCTCAATGTTGGTGGAGAGATGGGGAGAACCAGTAAATTGGTTTTCTTTCTTAATTTAACACCTACTTGGGAGCCAACAGGGCCCTTCAATTTCACAGGAGACCCAGCACTGAACTGAGTGTGCATTACTGTCACCTTTAGTTGCTGGAAGGAGCACTACTAGTGAGGAGGACAGAGAGGCAGCAGGCAGGGGCCTGGCACAAAGAGAGGAGTGTAGGCAAGGAGGCCCAGATAGGACCACCTGGTGGGGGCTGTCTTCTCCAGAGAGGCTCCCAGCAAGGGCACCCTCTGCTCTCTTACAAGCCAGCCCACCAACAGGCTTCCCTCCAAATCATATCAGGGACACCATGCCCCAACCAATGCATGACAACAAGGAGAGACTGGAAAGAAAAGAGGTGGGCATCAGGCAGTGGTCAGCCTGTTGGAGGGATGTCTCCCACAGAGGTTGGGCTGTGAGAATCCTGGGGTCTGGCTAGCCATGGTTCCCAGCACCTACTACATTCAAGACCCTGTGGTGGTGGAAACCAAAGAAATCTTCAATCTGTCCTTGGGCGCTTGGGGGAAGCAAAGAGCAAGATGGCGGAGACCCCACAACTGCTGCAGGGGGACTCAGGTCTTGGTGTCCTGTCTCCGTACAAGAACCTCTGTGTGGGCAGCCTGTGGCACTGGGCCACCCTCCCCTGCAGTTTGTGCAGAGCAGCCTAAGGCTACAGAATGGGATGAAGCACTGTGAAAAGAGGGCCCCACCCAGTCTGTCACTCCGGTAATAGTCAAGGGCTTTGTCCTGAGGAGCACACATGAGGGAGACAGACTTGAAACAAGTGATTTCAATCAAGTGCCTTTTAGGGGAGACTCAGGGTACCACGGGAGCTCAGAGAAGGAGACGCAGCCCAGATCAGGGAAGGATTCCCGGGGAAATTGAGACCTGAAGGGTGAGCAGCAGTTTGTTACACAGAGAGGGTGGCACTCTAAGAAAACAGAACAATCTTTGCAAAGCGTCAGAGGTGAGAGACATGTAAAGAAAATGAACAGGCCGGGCGTGGTGGCTCACGCCTGTAATCCTAGCTCTCTGGGAGGCCGAGACGGGTGGATCACTCAAGGTCAGGAGTTCGAGACCAGCCTGAGCAAGAGCAAGACCCCATCTCTACTAAAAATAGAAAGAAATTATCCGGACAACTGAGAAAATATATATAGAAAAGATTAGCCGGGCATGGTGGCGCATGCCTGTAGTCCCAGCTACTCGGGAGGCTGAGGCAGGAGGATCGCTTGAGCCCAGGAGTTTGAGGTTGCTGTGAGCTAGGCTGACGCCACGGCACTCTAGCCAGGGCAACAGAGGCAGACTCTGTCTCAAAAAAAAAAAAAAGAAAGAAAGTGAACAAAGGCAAGCGAGCCAGCCTGGAACAGTAAGTACAAATAGGAAACAGGACAGGCAAAGTCAAAGGCCTAATAGACCGTGTTAAGGAATCTGGACTTGATCCTAAGAGCAATGGGAAACCCTTCAAAGGGGTTGGGTTTATACAGGAGATAGACATAAACAGAGCTGTATTTTATTTTGTTTGTTTGTGTTTTGTGTGTGTTTGTTTTGTTTTGTTTTTTGAGACTATGTAACAGAAGTAAGGGCCTGAAAAAGGGCAAAGTGTATTACAAGTTGTCTCTTTAACTCCCCCCCACTCCCTTTCGGAATTAAAACCTGCATTCCTGCCTAAGAGCGGTGATCAGAGGGACGGAGAGTGTCCTTTGTTCTTTGTGCCACAGGAGATGGCTCAACTGAATTATCCAGACAGAGGTCACCAGACTGTCTTCACCAGAGATGCTATGTTAAACAGCAGTAGCCTGAAGCTAAATACTCCCTTTAAAATCTCTGCATTTCTGCTTATAGTTAGGGCGATGGTTCTTTAAGATGAGAGTCTACCATCCTCATTTGCCAACAAATTAATAAACCTCTCTTTCCCTCAAACCACTTGTCCTCATTCTTTCTTCGTTCAGCTGTGGGGACAAGTACTGAA